TATATATATATATATATTTGTTAAGTAAACATTTATAATTTAATGTTTTTTGAAGTATATTTCTTATTTTAAAGGACTCAAGTCAAAATTAAAAAAAAACATGGAGTAAAGCCATAAATTGTGAGAATTGTATAAATCATCTTGATCTTTCAATATCAACAAATTTTTTTTCTAAATTGTCACAAACATGTTTAATTTAAGGAAGGACTTTTGCAAATTAATCTTATTATCAAATTAGAGTATATATAAAATGATAATAATTATTAACATATCTATAAATAAAGCACAGACAAAAAAAATTATTATTTATAAATTGTATTGTTGTGATCTTCTTATGCCTAACTTGAGACGTGTTGTCAATAATTATAATTAATATAGACTATGTGTGTTATTACACTTGAGTTTAGAGGGTTCTATACCATTGTGATTCCTAGTTATGACTAACATAAGGTGTGTTTTTTATATTTCAAACTTATATAAACACTATATACTCTTTGTGCTCAAACTCAGAAGATTTTGTATCGAAAATCTCCCACCAACTGAAAGGCCTCTAAAGTTGACCAAGAGGTCTCTTGGGTAAATGTTAAAGGTTATACTCCAAGATGACTTCAAAATGTGCAAATGGTGACTTGGATGTAGGGCAAGTTATTTGCTCGTTCAGGCAATCAATTAAATCTCGTGATCTGTAGGATGGACAAGATAATGACCATAAATACTAAAGTTTACAAGTTCATCAATGACAATAATGGTAAGGTGTGATTCATGAAATAATTACAAGAAACATGAGATTCATGTTCATAATATTGCATTGTTATATAAAGAGATAATTAGGTTTAAGAAGACAGGTCACACTCATCAAATATTTTAGACAAAGATTGCAACTATACTTTTTTGACATTGTATCGTTAAGAGTTATCTAACGACAATCCCTTGTACAAAAACACAACTCATTATAAATTGTGAGTTAAATTAATTTGTGGGTTTTTATATTATTTAAATTGTTCATTTTTATATATTATTAGTTTAAAATATTACACAAATATATAGTTTTTAAAATAATTATTATAAGAAAAATAATATTTTTCATTATACATGATATTGGATGACAATGTAATTATATTGTTAGTGAATATATCTTATTTAAAATTTTAAAATCAAATGCTTATTTTTATCACAAATTCAATTCTTATAATTTTAGTACATATATTAATTAATTGTTTTTTAGTTTTAAGATTAAATATTTATTATATTTAATTAAAATATGTAATATATCATATAAAAATAAAATAATGTATTTGAATATATAAATTATATTTTAAATATATGAAATTTAATTTATATTGTAGAATAAAATTATTTTATTTATTGATAATTTATTTTAAAATATTAAATTTAAATTATAGATAATTATGATAAATAAAAATTGAATTAAATAAAAAGTTAAAAAAATTTAAAATTCTTGAAAGAATTCATGAAGTGTTTAATATATAAAAATCAATTAAATTTTTTAATATATAAAAGTTTATTAATATATTTTTAAAGTATTTAATATATAAAAGCTGATTAAAATATTTAATATACAAATGTTGATTAATATATAAAGATAAAAGGGTAGGACTTTGAATATTCTTCGAAAATTTAAACTTAACTATTTATTAATCATATCATAATTATTAGTATTTTTATTTACTCGTAATAGTCAAATTGTTATCGAGCAATTTATAACACTTAACTTTGCTCAACAAATCCAGGTAGAATTTATTGGTTAAATATATAAGACTTTGTTGAGTTTTTGGCTTACTCATACCATTTTAATCTTCATATTTAATTATGTTTTATATTTAAATTAATTAAATTTTGCAATTTAGTCATTCAAAAACTTTTATAACTTTGTTTTTTTTTTTTTATTATCAAAATTAAGTAATGTTAAAGTATCATTAATATGTCATTCAAAATTATTACTCATATACCACTTTAAGTTTCATCTGATTATATTTTAAGTTTAAATCAACTTTAATAATAATTTAAAATAAAATCATTTTGATAAATTTTGAATTCTAATTGAAATAAAAAAGGAGCATAACATTTTTATATTAAAAAATATTATTTCTAACATGAAGACAATATGACTAAATAATAGTTAAGTTGTATCATTTACAAACAGGTCAATTTTTTTTTCTAACATGAAGTTAATATGACTTAATAATAGTTAAGTTGTATCGTTCACAATCAGGTCAATTTTTTTATTTAAAGATTTTAAAAATAAGACAGACCAAATTTATAATTAAAAAAAAATTGAGAGTCACAATTGCACATTCGCATAACTCTAACTATTAAAAGTGAATTTAAGTTTATATTTTAATAGTGGTTTTTCACTTAAGATTATTTTCATTAAAATAAAATAATTGTTAAATTAAGCATATGAACTAAAATAAAAACTATAAAAGCGACATGTTTGTAATATTTTTCTTTACTAAAAAACTGTTTGTGATTTAAATATTTATAAGTTTTTAAATTGATTATTAATCTGAGATAGCATATTATTAGCCGTGCTTTAATAATATAGACGCAATTAATGTTTTCAGAAAAATCACAAGCACGACATATATTTTTTTTAAATAAAAAGAATCATTTAAAAAAATCCTTGAATAAAAGAATTTGGATATTAGTTCAACCTTAATTTGTTTTTCCGCTCCTCATTTACATTTTATTATCCTATTTTCATATAACTATATGACTTTCATTTTTTTTTTAAGATAGGAAAGATTACAAAGATGGTTGCAATGAGGATTGAACTTAGGCCTTCATGCTTCTAACTACTTCAATCCCTCCCCACCCAACCACTAGACTAACCCTAGTGGTTATATGACTTTCATTTATGCTAAGGCATGAATTACAATTAATAAAACAAGTTAAAATAGTATAAACTTAAGACTGACTTATTGATTAAAATTTAATCAATAATGTATGGGTTAAATAAATTTTTATCCCTATAATATATTTATTTTATGGTTTTAATTTTCTTTTATAAAAAATATTATTTTTATTCCTATAATTTTTTTACGATTCCAAATGTTATTTATTTAGTTTTTATAAATGGTAAACTTTTGATATATGTTTATTTTTGCTAAAAACCTATTTTGGTCCCTTATAATAATTATTTGTTTCAATTTAGTCCCACTTTTATTTTTGGTCTCAATTTGGTCCCTAATAAATTAATTGGTTCTAATGTTGGACTTCTGTCCAAATTATTTAGACGGAATTAACTGTTGTCATGTGGATGCCACGTGGAAGCTACGTAAATGTCACGTGGATGTCAAATTTTGTCATGCATCTGGAACCAGAACAGACTATTTTGAAACCAGAACGACTCGTTCTGGTTGCACACATGGTGTGTAAATTTTGCATCTAGAACGACCCGTTCCAGATGCATTATTTAACACCAACGCGTGCAGCAGAACGGATTGTTATGAAACCAGAACGGGCCGTTTTGGCTTCCAAAACGGACCGTTCTAGATTCAGAACGGGCCGTTATAGATTCAGAACGGGCCGTTTCAGAACGCCAACCAACACAGTGGTGGGTCAAAAATCAAAAGTAAGTCATTTACACATACACAATTTTTTTATCTAAAAAATAATATATTTTAGAAAATAAAAATTATATTCTAATATATATATATATATATTTAAATTATCGTATGTATAAAATATAAATTTCAAGGAGTTATTCATTTATATGATATTTGTTAAACTTTTAATAAATTAAACTTAATTTTTATAAGATTTAACTTGTTTATTTATATGTTTTTATTAGTGTTAAATTATTATTAAGTAAGTTTTTAAGATTGCTATGTAACCAAACATTTTAAAAAATGTCTATGACAGATAAATATATAATATTTATAACATGTATTTTTAACAAAATTAGGTTTAAATCTGTTAAATTATAATATAACATAATCTGACCTAGTTTATTTTCATCCTTAATCATAATTGTAGATATAAAAACTTGTAAAAAATAACTATAATATATATTTATACTTTTAAAAATTATATATAAAATTTTTAATATTACAAATATATGAATAAATATTGTCTTCACGATCTAAAATTTTTAGATATAATCATCAACTGTATGTCTGGCCATGTGGAACCATAACAACCCGTTCTGGTTTCACTTCTGGTGTGTTAATTTTGCATCTGGAACGGCCCGTTCCAGATGCAAAATTAACACACTAAGTGTGAAACCAGAACGGGTCGTTCCGGTTTCAGAACGGGTCGTTCCGGTTTCAGAACGGGCCGTTCTGGTTCCAGATGCATGACAAAAAATTGACATCCACGTGGCATCCACGTAGCTTCCACGTGGCATCCACGTAGCCAACAATTAAATCTGTCTAAATAATTTGGAAGAAAGTCTGACATTGCAACCAATTAATTTATTACTTATTAGGGATCAAATTGAGACAAAAAATAAAAATATGATTAAATTGAGACAAACAATTATTATAAGGAAGCAAAATAAGTTTTTAGCCTTTATTTTATCTTATACTTTATTCATTTTCTTTCTATTACTTAAGAAACATAAGGTCAATAATATATTTAGTTCGTACATCTTTAGTGGATAGTGGCTTAGAAAAATCATTAAAAACTACAATTTTACAAAAACTAAAACCTCCAAAAGAAAATTATAAAAATTGATTTATAAGTTGACTTATAGAAATGTCCAACCTAACATATATTGACAAATATTAACAAATTATTGCTTCGAGAAAAATTAAATTTAATAATTTATAAGTGTAAAAAAATGGTTAGAAAAAAAGTTTTGTAAATCACAAGAAATAGTATATTATGAAAATTAATTATTAATAAAATTGATAAATATTTTATACCATTGTCATAATTATATATATATATATATATAAATAAAATATCATATTGAAACATTTTACTCATTGAATACTGAATTTTTAACGCACATTCCTAGTCCTACACACTAATTAATCGAAATCGTTTGTTGGGTGCTTAAAGACGATGAAAACATTAAATATCTAATTTTCAATACCTTTAAATTATTTTAAAACGTAAAAATATAATATATTATATAGATTTTTTTTAAATTGTGTCTATATTTACATATTAATTTTTACTGTAATCATAATAAAAACACTAAAAAAATTCTGTTAATATAATTTATTCCATATTAAAAATAATAATTTTAACAATAACAACTTAATTGAAAGATACCACTATTGTTTGACAAAATAATTAAGATAAAAACGATACTAATTTAATAGTCTTGTTGGAAAGTCTTTTAAGGGCAAATATAAATGCGTTGAGGAAAAATTATTTGAAGTTCTATTTATGGAAATATCATAGGTTTGATTATTTTATTTTAACGAGTTAAATAAGTTAAATTTTAACTTGTTTATGATTCAAGTATTTCTTTGTTCAAAATTCTCATTACATATTTTCTTAAACTTAGTATTCAATTTGAACAAAATTTTTATATTAAAAGTTAAAGTAAAAATAAAGATGAAATATAAAGTTATATTCAAAAAAATGATTTAATAATAAAAAAATAGTAAAAAACGGATGACCATTTATTTGAAATATAGTTTTTGAATATTAGTACAAAATAATTGGTACATATAAGATAATAATAAATAAAAACATTATTACAAATAAATATTTAAATAAAATTACAACTTTCAAATATCAGACATATATAAGAAATTTTCACAATTATCAATACAAAAATTACAAATTTTAATTTTTTTTGTTTCAAATAATCAAAAAGTCCAATTATAAATAAGTTCATTTGAAAATTTAACAATTTGAGATTAAATAATTCTTAAAAAACCCATTTTATTTATATTAGAAGAGTTGAGACACTTCATACCTCTAATAGTTAAATACAAACAAATATTAGAAGTTACGGATAATTATTTAGAAAAAATATAATTTTTTTTTTAAATTTAAGGGATATAATAGTTTATAAAAAGTGAAAACCAAAAAGGTAATTACTAACATATATCTCCTTTATATTTACATCTAAGAGATATAATGGTCCATTAAAAAGTAAAAATCAAAAGGACAATTACCAAAATATATACTTTTATAGATATAGATTATTTCTCAACTCAAATGTATTAATTAGAGTATTTAATATATCATATTAAATATTTTAAATTATACTAAATAAGTATTTTTTGACTTTTGAATGTATTGATTTTACATTAAATACTCTTGTGAGACCTATATACAAGGAAAAAACGTTTAAATTTTTTAGACTCAAATATAAACAAATTTTAACTTTGTTAAATTTATTTAATGACTTTTATTCAAACATATTTTAAAGCTAAAGAATTGCAATAAATATGAAAAAAAATATTTAATAAATGAAATATATATTTTATATGAAATTATGAAAATTAAAAATATATAATTATTTTTATTAATATGTATATAAAATTAAATTATTAGAATTAACTTAGTCCTAAGAGTTGAAATAAAATGTACAAATTTTAATATTGTTATTATAAATCTAATAGATAAAAAAAATTATGTAAAATATATAAGTCAACATGAAGTATTTGTTATTTTTATTTCCTCAATCAGACATTGAATACCATTTTTGTCAGATTAGAGAATTGCAATCTCACGCTAATTTCACCCGATGCATCAAATGCAGCATATATTACCTCACGCAATATCACACGTGTCAATCTCTAATTAGAGATGCCACAGTTTCACGTTGTACCTGGTAGGGGTTAATAATCCAGTGCGACGTGTACTCGTACACCTCTCGCTTAAACGGTTGTACGTTGCAGACAAGTGCACCCTCACAAAGCCCAAACTGTGTGACACAACAAGTGTATCTATAAACTCAAAAGAACGAGCTCGGACAACGCAAAATTAATTTGTAGAAAAAACGGAGAGAGGAAAAAAGGAGGAACAACAACAACGGAGAGAGAGAGAGTGGTTCTTCACACTCTCGCATTCCGCAGATCAGATCCAAACATTACGAATTCCTAGATCTATTTTCGCTCTCCATCCGCACTCAAATTTCTGATTCGCGATTTCAATTTCCTGTTTCCGGCGCAATTAGGTTTTCGGAGATCGAATGGCGTGCATCAAAGGGGTGAGTCGATCGGCGTCGGTGGCGCTGGCGCCGGACGCACCGTACCTGGCTGCCGGTACCATGGCCGGCGCCGTTGATCTGTCCTTCAGCTCGTCCGCGAATCTCGAGATATTCAAACTCGATTTCCAGTCCGACGATCCGGAACTTCCTATCGTCGCCGAGTGCCCGAGCTCCGACCGCTTCAACCGTCTCTCGTGGGGGAAGAACGGTTCTGCCTCCGAAGGCTTCGCTCTCGGCCTCGTTGCCGGTGGATTGGTCGATGGCAACATTGATATCTGGAATCCTCTCACTCTGATCCGGTAATTCGGCCTTTCTCTCATTAGCGTTGCTTTTGTTTTTGGTATTGGAAATGACATGTGTTTGCGGAGATTGAAGTTTCCTAGGGTTAGATGATTTCCTAGAAATGTGGTTAGATTGCAGAATTGGGAACTTGGCTAAATGAATGGTTTAAATGGATTGTCTGATGATTGATAAATAGTGCGTGTTTTAATGCATGGATGGGAGTAACAATTCAACATTGGTGATCAGGGGAAGGAGTACCGAAATTTTTATTGCATAATACGATTTTGATGCAAATCAAATTCAATTTCGAATTGCTGATTTCTTCTTCTTCTTCTTCTTATTATTATTATTATTATTATTATTTGGTATAGTTCAGTTATAATTTTCATATGCTTCTCAACGGTTGTTTTGATGTTTTGAGTTAGCATAGGAGTTTTGGTTAATATGAATGCATCATATAATATTGCTGCTTGGTGTACAATTTGCATTTCATTTATTACTTAATCAATGAAGAAAGTAAGAATTTTGTATGAGGAAGGAGTGAACAAGCAGGGGGTAAGGTAGCCTCCTAAAGTATCAAATAAAAAGAAACAGTAAAATGGATGCATAAGGTCGAAAGAGCTGGCCAACCCCTCTGTTAATAGATAAATAATTGCTTATTCTTTTGTCAATCCTTTCTGGTGCTTTTATTACTGCTCATTATATTTTGGAAGTGTTAGTATTGTGCTGCTTTATGTTACTGGTCCTTCTCCTTCCCAATGAGTTGGTGTAGTGGTCTCTTTCTGCAAGAAAATTGTGGAAGAATAGGAGATGATGGTTTCATAATAATTATATAAATTACAATGATTGGGTCCCGAGGTTTGAATTCTTCAAATATTATCATGTAAATTCAATGTCACGCATGCTTTCCACAATATGAAGACAAATTTGCCTTTCAAATTTTCTAATTTCAGCAATTATAGATGAATGGCCTTGTCTGTCAATGCAAGTAAATAATGATCTTATATTGGCAATCATTTGTGTCTGAGCTATGCTAACTCAAAATCATGTTCTCTTCAAATTATAGCACTATAGAGTAGTCTTCATGAAAATGGAGAAAGGCATTAATTTCTGTTGGACTATATAATGATGCAATATTGATAAAAATTTAGTAATTCTGAATATTTTGGTTCATTGCTTAATTGGTTCAATTTATGATATATGTTTCATATACAATTTTTTTTGTTGCTTATTCAACGAGTTTATTTATCTTCATAACTTTCCTCAGCTCGGAGTCAAATGAAAGTTCTCTTGTTGGACACCTTGTACGGCATAAAGGACCAGTAAGTCCTCCTTTGCTTTTACAAGCCAACCTGTTGAGTTTTAATTGTTCTTTGTTTTAGACCATATGTATTGTTCACTTATATTTAAAATCCCATCTCGGATATTTTCATGTTTCAGGTTCGTGGTCTTGAATTTAATGTCATTGCACCAAATCTTCTTGCATCTGGGGCTGAGGATGGTGAAATTTGCATATGGGATTTGGCCAATCCTTCAGAGCCTACACATTTTCCACCACTAAAGGTCAGAGATTTTTCCCTTAAGAGTGTGCATGTTGAATACCTCTGCCCCTGCTTTGATGGATTAATGTGTTTTAATCTTCAAATATATGTTTCTATAATTTAATAAATTTTACACATTTAGTGTATATGATAATGGTGCAGAGTACTGGCTCTGCTTCCCAGGGAGAAATTTCATTCTTATCTTGGAACAGTAAAGTCCAACACATATTAGCTTCTACCTCATACAATGGGACCACTGGTGAGGAAGGAATTTAATGTATCTTTTATATTCTGTTCTCAATGTTGTATTTCTGCTGGAATACTATATATATTCTTGTGTTTATTTTTTCAGTGGTCTGGGACCTAAAGAAGCAAAAGCCAGTGATAAGGTAACTTGGTTGCTCATCTTTTGCCTTTTTTTTTTTGAAGAAGTTTGATATTCTATTACCAAAAAAAGTTGTAACCTTTTTTATCATTTGTGAACTGGCAGCTTTGCAGATTCAGTTAGAAGGCGGTGCTCAGTTTTGCAGTGGAATCCTGATGTTGCCACTCAACTTGTTGTTGCTTCAGATGAAGATGGCTCTCCTTCTTTGAGGGTATAGTATGGTTACTGCAGATGATTTGCTTATTTATTTCAAGGGTTGTGTGTATTGATCTTATATGAGCATGCTTATGCAGCTTTGGGATATGAGGAATATAATTTCACCAATAAAGGAGTTTGTGGGACACACTAGAGGTAATGGCACCTGTTAGTTTGTTTATAATTCTTGTGGTATTCTGTCTGTCTACTTGTCATTATCAATACTACCTTCCCTTTTTGTTGTACTTTTTTCTTTATTCCTGCACACCAATCTTTTATTTAATTAAAAACCAAAAACATGTGGGAAGCAAGTGAGCTAGTAATGTTAGCTGTGTGAAACAGGTCAGGGTGGATAATTAAAATTTTGACAATTGTAGATTATCATGTTCACTTATTTATGTAAAATGTGTTGATTACTTGATTATACATGAAGAGGTGGGGAGGGTGATAGAGATAGTATTAGGAAGCTTGGATATGACAGGAGACATGGATACAGATTACAGCATGACTGTGACATAGGGGCATGGTAAATTTTATAAACTTTGGGGCATAGCATAGCTTAGTTATGGTAAATATATACAACTAGTGTTAGTATAAAAGCACAAAAGTTAAAGTATAAGAGAATCAATATTTAAATTTTTCACAACTGGTTAAAATACTATCATTTATTTAATTATTGTCGTATTTCCACTTGTATTTGTGTATAAATAAAATTTCAGATAAATCAAAATGGAAAAGTTCCAAAATTTAAGGAGTATCCTTAGTATTCTTGAAGTGTCTAGCCCTGCTACATGATAGGCATGAATATGATGCCTATTTGGAAGTGTCCCTGCTTCCTAGGATATTGGGATTTTTCTACCTTATGTCTTTTTCTATTGCTTGTTTGGAAACACTGCAAAAACAAATGTTTCACCGAATACATTTGAAATGGTATCCAATCAAGTACTTTGTCTATTAGATTTTCTTCTTTTATGTAGTAGACGATATACAGCCCATGTTGCCAAATGTATATATTTTTGTTCTGACAATTGAGCTGATGTTAGGTTCTGATTTATCATTTAGTCTGTCTAAGTCTGAATCTGAATTTTATACTTGCAGTTTATTGTGAAGCTACATTCTCTTTCACTGTTTTTTAGTTTATCTGATTTGCTTATGTTGCCTGAATTTCTATATTAGGTGTAATTGCAATGTCGTGGTGTCCCAATGATAGCTCTTATATGCTTACCTGTGGCAAAGATAGCCGAACTATATGCTGGGACATGATTTCTGGAGAGGTGGTGTTTGGCCTTCTTTATCTTTCTCATTTTCTGTTTGACGAGTTACGAAAGTGCTTGATTGTGTTGACCTTTACATTTATATGACTTTTGTTCAATGCTGGGACATGATTTCTGCGTACAGATTGCCTATGAATTGCCAGCTGGGACCAACTGGAATTTTGATGTGCATTGGTATCCTAAGATACCTGGAGTAATATCAGCATCTTCCTTTGATGGAAAAATTGGCATATATAATATTAAGGTACATATATTTTTGGTGGTTTATTTTAGATTTGGTGAGTTTTTACCTGATTTTGTTTAGCAAGTTTGTGTTAGTCTGTTGTTATATTGAAGGATTTCATTGAGAGTTATTAACTTGGAGTGATATGATAAACTGACATGGATAATGAAATACTGGATAAGTGATGCTTAAATTTTATTCACAATATTTTTTATTGGTCATAATTCAATAGATCGTAGTTATTGTGGCATGTGATGAACTAGTGTCTTACAATTTGTATAAGGAAAATATTTTTCAAATACAAATTTTGAAGTAGCCATTTTCTAATTGTTGATTTTCCTGTACATTTCTGTTTTCAGTTTAACTCACTGTAGTCAATTCTTATCTGTCTTTTTGCTTTCTGTTCTCCATCTCATTCTTTATCACTTCAATCATGTTATAACTCATAATTTTTTTTTGAAGTTATGTACATGATACTTATAGCCAATTATTAAATTGAATTGTTTAAATTTTTTGTTTTGTTTGTTTCCTTTCCCTTAAGTTTGCAACCTTATTTTTTTTACTAAATCTCCCTTTAAGCAGGTGAGCATTTTTCTATGATCAACTTTTGTCATTGAATTAAACTTTCAATTCTACCGAGCCTGGTGTTTCTCAAAACCTGTTAGTTTTTGCATATATACTTGGCTTATTAATAACATTTTGCATGCATTAGGATTTCTTATATATATATATTTTTTCTTTTTTCTTCATAATTTAGGATTAGGACTAATTTGCATTCCAGATTCTCTTGTAGATCTCTTTATTGGCTATATTATTTGTGGTAATATTTGTAATTGTCTGCAGGGTTGCCGTCAATCTGAAGAAAATGATTTTGGTGCAGGTGATACATTTTTTTGACTTCTATGGAACAAACTACTAGCTTTTATAATTTCTCATATATCACCTATATGTGTGTGTGTTGAGGAGGATTAGACAATGCTTTCTGTTCTTTAAAACACCTTTGGATCAGAGCTTTTTTGGCATCTCTCAACTGGATGTTCTTTCTGTGCAGCACCACTGAGGGCACCAAAATGGTATAAACGTCCTGCTGGTGTGTCTTTTGGCTTTGGAGGCAAACTTGTGTCCTATAATCCCAAGGCATCTGCTGCAGGTTCTCCATCTGGTGCTTCAGAGGTAAGATTTTAGTGCTTTTTGTATGGTAAATTTCTTGAAGCTTTTAGTTGAATTCATTCCACTCGTGGTTTTCCAGGTTTATGTGCATAACTTGGTCACCGAACATGGTCTAGTCAGTCGTTCATCTGAATTTGAAACTGCAATACAAAATGGGGAAAGGTCTTTATTGAGGGTCTTATGTGATAAAAAATCTCAGGAATCAGAGTGAGTTCTATTCATGAAGTGCAACATTGTTTCATGATTTTTTTATTTTTATTTTTTTTTGTATGCCTAACTTGTGAGTTTTGCGCAGTGCTGATCACTTTTTAATGTTGTGATAGATCTGAGGAGGAAAGAGAAACATGGGGCTTTTTGAAGGTTATGTTTGAAGATGATGGGACTGCACGGACAAAACTCCTCTCACATCTTGGCTTCAATGTGCCTAGTGAAGCAAAAGACACAGTTAATGATGATCTTTCCCAAGAAGTAAATGCTCTCGGACTTGAGGACACAACTGTTGACAATGTAGGACATGTGGCTACTAATGAAACCACTTTCTCTACTGATAATGGGGAGGATTTCTTTAATAATCTTCCCAGTCCTAAAGCTGATACCCCATTATCTACTTCTGCTGGCAACTTTGTTATTGCGGAAAATGCCAATGGTTCAGAGAATGTCCAAGATGATGTGGAAGCAGAGGAGAGCGGTGACCCTTCATTTGATGACAGTGTTCAGCATGCTTTAGTTGTTGGGGACTACAAGGGGGCGGTTATGCAATGCATTTCTGCAAATAAATGGGCTGATGCATTAGTTATTGCTCATGTTGGTAATGCTTCCTTGTGGGAAAGTACACGGAATCAATACCTCAAGATGATCCGATCACCGTACTTGAAGGTAGCTGATAATATCATCATATAAACTATCAATTTCATGTCTAACAAGTTCTATGCAATACCTACTTGATATTTATGTTTTACAAGTCTATTTCATTTGTTGGTCATTTCCATTTTCAGATTGTATCAGCAATGGTGAGCAATGATCTCTTGAGCCTGGTGAACACTAGGCCCCTGAAATTTTGGAAAGAAACTCTTGCTCTTCTTTGCAGTGTAAGTCTCTTTGGTCTTTGCTTCTTGTCTAATTTTGTTTGTGTTAGATTTTGAATTGCTGACATTATTCAACTATTCCTATCATTCTTAAGTTGATCATAAAAGAAATGCGGAGTTACCTAAGGAAGATTTATGCATCTCAGACTTGCTCTTCTTATTGTACCTTGGGTTTCTTTAATAATTTATTTGTTTTTGTTAACATACTGCCATCTCTATAATTACTGCTTCTTGAAAGCCTACACTTTTTGACTACATTGTCTTCATATTGTTGCTACTATTGGTCACGTTATGATTGGATCAAGTTTTGAGATCAAAATTTCTCTTAATAGTACAAAATACAAATTAGAAACTCAATATTAGCCATAAATTTTCATGATTGAGTTATTTTAACTACACTCATTATTTTTTTTTATTATCACATATTAACAGTTTGCTCAGAGAGATGAATGGACTATGCTTTGTGACACACTTGCTTCAAAGCTCATGGGGGCAGGCAATACATTAGCTGCAACTCTTTGCTATATATGTGCTGGAAATATTGATAAAACTGTTGAAATTTGGTCAAGGAGCCTGTCAAATGAGCATGAGGGAAAATCTTATGTTGACCTTCTTCAGGTAAGATTGATGCTCTTGTTGTATCTTGTAATTATGTTATAAAATTCCCACCTACTGATATTGCAACCGGAAATTTGTCAAAATTATATTTTGTTAGGATTTAATGGAAAAGACTATTGTTCTTGCCTTGGCAACTGGGCAGAAGCGGTTTAGTGCCTCTCTGTGCAAGCTTGTTGAGAAATATGCTGAAATTTTAGCAAGTCAAGGGCTGTTGACTACAGCGATGGAGTATTTAAAGCTGTTGGGTTCTGAAGAACTGTCGCCTGAACTTACAATTTTAAAGGATCGAATTGCACTTTCTACAGAACCTGGTAAAAAATTTCTTGGACTTGAAGGGATGCTGATTATTTGCAAGTGACACTTTGCATGACAATTTTTCTTGATGAATACTTAAACTACTAGCATTTTTATTTTTTTTAGTATAATATTATTATATTTATAATTATGTATCAAATTAACTTGGTATATATTTTATGGTTAGTAGAGTATGGTGTAATTTTATACTCAATCATAGTTCCTCCGTGTTTTTGTGGATGAAAGGGGGGGGGGGGGGATTGCAAACAACCGAAAGATGAATTGTTTGATTAAAAAATATTTCCTGTTTTAGGAAAACTCAACCAGTCAAATGGTTACTTATCAGCCACTCTTTGAATATTGTTAATGAATAATGGTGTGTTAAATTTTTCCTAAATTGAATTAGTTTTACCAAGAGTTCCTTTTTTGGAAAATTTCATATTTTACAATATTCTATTTAAAAGCAGGTCACTGTAAATCACGTAAGGAATATAGAGCTGCAGTTCAATCAAGTTAATCTTCATTAATTGAGGAACACCATAATTATTCTTATTAAGGATTCCTCGTTGGAGAGACCTATGTTCACAGTTATTCGTAGTTAATTGATTAATTATTATCTTGCCACAAATTCAGCTTTTAGTGTTTCCCCTTTTTGTTTACTATTGAAGCTTTCCATACACCTGTATTTGCTTCACTTTTGTTTCCTTTCAAATGGTTATTGTTTGCAGAGAAAGACTTCAAAACTACTGCTTTTGAAACTTCTCAATCACATAGTGGGTCCTTTTATGGTGCTGATCATTCCAATTATAATAGAAATTATTATCAGGTAGTTATTTAACTTTGTTTTTGAGCACTTTCTTTTTTGGTGAAAAGCATACCGGCTTTCTACAATTTTGAAATTATTCCAAATAATGTTTGTTGTTCAGGAGTCAGTACCCACTCAAGTGCAGCATGGTGTTTCTGGAATTCAGTATCCTGATAGCTATCAACAGCCATTTGATCCTAGATATGGAAGTGGCTATGTGGCTCCTACTCCACCTCAGCAACCTCAACAGCCTAATTTGTTTGTTCCACCACAGACTAATCAGGTTGCACAAGCTCCCCAGGTATGTTATCATATCATGTCAAATCTTATAAAAGTGTAGTAATAGTTCTAGTGTGTTTGTGCATAATGTTTATGGAATTATAGCTCAGCAATAACTTGAGTGTTTTTTTCCCCAAAATATAAGCGGAGTCTATAATTTTTCAGGGGGAAGTAATTGTTCTCTTTAAAGCTCCTTTTAGAGGCTACAAAAGAATTAGTTATTTATTTTTTTAAAGTTTAACCAAACATGCACTAGTGTTGGAATTGACTCGAGCAGTGGCAGCTATTTCTTTGTTTAAAATTTAAGCCTCTGCTAATCCACAGGTAGATAATATCAGGGTATGGAATGTTTTTATTTTATTATTGTTAGCAGGCACAATGAGGGGAAACTCATGCAGGGTCACTCTTGTATAATCTTCAATTTGTTTAGTGGGTTTCTTCCCCTTCCTTGTATAAGATTTTGTCATTCCGAGCAAAATTCAAGCTGTTGGTTATTTACACTTTTCCTCCTATTGCTTTCTTAAATCGAATTGTTTCTTTCTTGTAGCAGAATTTCTCAAATACTGCTGTTGCGCCACCTCCTTTGAGAACTTTTGATCCTCAAACTCCTCCTGTGCTTAGAAATGTGGAGCGATATCAGCAGCCCACATTGGGTTCTCAATTATATAATGTCAGTAAACCCTTTTAATTTCAAATTTGATATTCTTAAATATGAGGCTACTTGTTGATTAAACCATGACTTTCTATATTTCAGACAACCACCAATCCACCTTACCAGCCTACACCCCCTGCTTCATCTCAAGTGGGCTTAGGTCATGGCCAGAACTTGTCACAAGTTGTGGCACCTACTCCAAATCCAATGGGATTCATGCCAGTCTCCGGTTCTGGTGGTGTCCAAAGACCTGGGGTGGGATCAATACAACCTCCAAGCCCCCCTCAAGTGCAACCTGTGCAACCAGCTGCAGCACCACCAGCTCCACCTCCTACTTTGCAGACTGCTGATACTTCAAAAGTACCTGGTAATTTTATTTACATGTTTTTTGTTTCTGGGGATTTTAGATTGGCTAAGAATCCTGAATTTGGTTGACTCCATTTTTATTTTACATATGGGTCATAAGACATCTGAAAATATACATTTAACGTAACATATTTGTTGCGATATTTGCTTGCTTTGACTATGCCAGGGCATCAAAAGCCTATTGTCACAACATTGACAAGGCTTTTCAACGAGACATCAGAAGCCCTCGGTGGCTCCCGTGCAAACCCAGCTAAGAGGCGGGAGATAGAAGACAACTCAAAGAGACTTGGTGGGTTGTTTTCCAAGTTGAATAGTGGAGACATCTCAAAAAATGCTTCTGATAAGCTCCTTCAGCTTTGTCAGGCATTAGACAATGGTGATTTCGGTACTGCCCTACAAATTCAGGTAAACCAATTGCAAATGCGAAATTTGGTTTTTACCTGTGTAAATAACTCCCATCAAATTTACATTGTAGCTGTTTTACTCGTCTTGCAGGTTCTTCTTACTACTACTGAGTGGGATGAATGCCAGTCCTGGTTAGGTTCACTCAAGCGGATGATCAAGACAAGGCAGAGCGTGAGACTAAGTTAAAAAGTTACAGATTTCTTTTTGCTGATTTTGGAAAATTTTCATGTGATTAGCATCTTGCAGTAGTGATTGCTGGTCCTCTCATCCATGTACACAGACTACTGCCATCTCTAGATTTCAGGTGCAGGGTTTTGATTCTATGTGCTTCTACAATTTCTTGCTGTGTCTGCAGCTTTCACATCGACTGTTATTAAAAGCTGTTACTGAAGGTAGTTGAAATGGTCAGAAAATTTAGCAGATTGTTTTTCAACCAATATTTGTAATATGGAGAACAGTGTTTTGTCTGTTTGTTTGCCCTAAAATTTCCAGATGGTTTTTTCCTCACACCCCTCTGGTACCATGGTGACGCTCCAAGCTGTTCTAATGTCAGTTATAGATTGATGTTTCCCTTTCTTTTATTTTCTTTTTAAAGAATATTGTATCACACTAGCCATATAAGTTTTGATTTGATCGTCAAACAGGTGAATAATGTAGCATCATGTTTATTTAATCATCCACCATTTAATTTATCATGTTTGTGATTTAGAATCACTGGTTTCTCCTGGCTGTCCCCTGTCCAGGTCCATGGTGCTTGGGACCTAGAGTCATTTCTCTGGCCGTGAAATATATGATTAATTGATCCAAAAGCCCCGAGTCATGGTATATGATTAATCATTTGGCGCTAATTTGATCCGAAAGCCCCAAGTCATAATATGATTTGCAAAATTCTGGGTTGTCGACTATGAATTTTATTAGTTTCCGATCTAAATCGAGAGTTCTAACGTCCGATCCTCGAATTATCATTTTGGGAAGATTTGTGTCTGACATTCTTTTATTATTCATTCAAGTTGCAAAAAATTGTCTAGGAGGAGGCTAAAGCGGCTTGAGTTTAGAATGAAATGCAATTTCAGTCTTATTACTCGGTTTCATATTCAAAAAGATTATAATCTATTTGGGAAATATTAATATTTTGAATAAGATTATTAAAAATGTAGGTATGCATTTTTTATTTGGTTTGAATTGTCTTGTGATTTTGATTTATTAAATTTGAAGTGTATATATCAAAACTGTTTTACTTGGTTGAAATTTATTTTATATTGGTTTTACTTGATATTCTATATTGGAAAATGACTGTCTTTTAAAAAATATTTTGTATATGATATTCAAAGTTGTTTAGTGGATGAAAGTCAAATATTTTACTTGAAATTGTTTAGTATCATAAGAATGCAGTGTTTAATTGATATATTAATAGTTTGTCAATTTGTAAAAGTGTATTGGAATATTTCACAAGAGTATCTTTCGTGAAGTGTTTTTTCACTGACATTTAATAAATGTTTTGTAATCTACAATGAAATATTTTACTTGAAGTTTATTTTAGTCAATCAAACTAAGTTATGAGCTAATAAAAATAATTTATAAATTTCCTCGAATATTCGTCTCCCCAACATTCACCAGCGATGTCAAATGTGTTGATCTTACACTTATTTTTCTCGGAAATATGCTGATAAATAATTATGACTATAGGAGGCCCAGAATACAAAAACTGGAATGGAAATGTCACTCCAAGAAGTGCATCATGGTTGATGGGAGGAGTCAATTCAACATAGTCAAAGCCCATGTGCGACAATCTCCAAAATATTATTTGAAACCTTTTCAGAAAGTATGTTTCTTTTCATTTTAATTGAGTAAATCACCATTTTATTTCTTGTATTTGGAAGGGTTGTCATATTAGTTCGTGAAATAAAAAATATCAAATACAAGTACAAACTAATAATTATTATTTCAAAATTCAAAAAACATAAAATAATATTGATATAAATTTAAAGATAAAATACTAATAAATAATAAAAGTTATCGACTTATTACTATTTGACATTTTCTTATTTTAATGGTTTAACATAACAGTGTTTACTACTTTCGTATATCAAAATGACTAATACTACGTATATGTCTTTTAATTATTCCTCTTTTTCTTCCATGATATTTGTCCAATGAGTCAGACATTATCGCAAATATCAAGACTGCTGCAAGGATTTTGATTGGAAGCTCTTATAAAAGTGGTTCAATTTACCTAAAGATGTCATTTGGGTACAGACACAAAAGAACTGACTCTTGATGGAAATGTTGGAGCCCTTTTGACTTTTTCTTTGGCCTTTGCAGAACCAAGCTTCCATTCCATCATGACCCTTTTTCCCTTCCGGAAAAAAAAAAAGTGATTTATTAATTTCAAGTGTACAGTTTTTTCAAAAGGCAAAATGCGATGATATAAAAACAAGCTCAATTAGACCCCAGCTCAAACAAACACAAATATCCTTTATTATGGTTTTAGAAATATATTACATTAAAAATAATAAGGCTTCTTAAGTCAACTATTCATTATAATTAGTTATTCAAGACAACTACAGCACATGAAAGTCTAGCTTCAAATATTCTGAGGGGAGAGAGTAAGCTTATGAGCTGTAAAGCCTTAATCTAAGGAAAGGAATATAGATTTTCTTACCTTTAGCTAACAGTTAAACGGTAAAAGACACTCAGATTGTTCATGTTTCTTGGATTATGAAACAACACTTTAGATAGCCTCTTCCTATTTGTCTTCACAGTACTAAAAACGATTTTGGCTGCACCAATGCCTCTCACCGAGTGAGGATAACTTGGCGTCTGTGTAGTCATTTTCTATAGTGACAGCAATTCAATTCCGGAATATAAAATTAATTTTCCTTTTGGTTCTAATGATCTTGACCTGTCACACAGAACAACTTAAGTTTAAAGGTAAACCTCAGAATTCTGATAAGGGCAATTTTACCACATAAAAAGAAAATTGACTATATAACTTCCACCTTAAACGTGATTTTTTACACGTGAATACAAACACGCTTTATGTATTTAAATTCCATCTATGAAAGGGGTTTCTTCTTTGTATAGACCTGGACTTGGTCTGATCCTCTTAAGCCAATCCAATATGGCCATTGCAGCAGGTTAAATTTTAGACTAGACCAAAAAAAATTCCAAATTCAAATGGATTTGTTGTTTGTATTGTTTTTATCGTGAAACTGATGTTCAAACCACTTAAGGTGGCAAAGTTTAATTGATTTACTCGTAGATATTTTATGCACAATAATTTTATTTGTGTACTATGCTACGTATTGTTTGCACCATTTCAGTGTTTTGTCGCGTATACTGTTTTTTCGGGGTTTTTTGTAGATGAAAATCAGAAAATATCGGGTAAATTGTGCTTTGTTAAACTAGGTCAATTTTAACCTCCCTATGGTGAAAATAATCAATGTATTAATTAAAATAATACCTATCATATTTTTTTTCAAATTCATAATCCCTACATGCAAGTAAAGAGACTTGATATATAGAACCGCAGTGTTCTTCCCTTGTGCACCATATTCATGAGTCTTCGATGCAAAAGTGCCACTAATGACGAGGAAGAAAAAATGGCCCAACACAGTTAAAAAGAGGAAATGTGGTACAAGTTCGACTCAGAAAGTAGAATTTTGATCAGTCAAAATGATTTTTTAATGGTTATCTACATAATTGAGGCAGGAAAATGTTTTTTACCTATCAATAGTGATAAATGTTGATTTAATGCACATTTAATTTAGTTTATATGTGCAAATATACAAATAATGTGTAGAAACGGTCGTTAGAAAAAGTGTCCAGCCCCTACCCTACATATATTGGCATACCAAAAACATTTCAGGAAAAGGGGATGTGGATAGTCTGAATCACTTGAATGCCATCATGGAAAGGAAGAAAGAAGCAAAAGCATGCTAATTAAAATAATAGCCCCATTTACTCATTGTTTCATTAGCCTAGAAAAAATGAAAATATCTTAAACACTATTATCCATTTGTTCTGTCATGACCAATGACTGTTGGCCAAAAGGATAAGGATAGCAAGAGGCAAATACATGTGTCCTAGGCTAATTGGATATTTGAGAGAACTAGAGAAAGGAAAATAGAATTTCTCTATCTCTGGTTTAGACCAGTTATGACAATGTTTTTTTAAAAGTTTCTTGTGTATGCTCCAATAATTAAAAGTATTAATAACTTTTTGTAATTTCAATTTCACTAGCATTTTATCCCTTCAAATGCATGGATTAAACAATTTTTTTTATATATAATTAATTAATTATATAAATTCAAAACAAAAGTGGAAAAAGTGGAAAATGTGAAAGTCTAGCTCTTCAAAAGTAAATATTTTAAAATTATAACTTAGGAGTAGATTTGACCAAAATAATATCCTTTTATGGCAACCATATTATTTAAATAAATTTAATTAAAAGACACTACTAAAAAGACTAAGCTTTAAAAAATTTTAAAACACATAATTACAAATTCTCGACATAGAATATAAATATTAATTTAATCTTTAAAATAAGGAGAATAAAGTTAAACACTTTAAAAAAATATCTTTATGAAATATTTAAGTGAGAATACTTGTTTATATGAAAATAATTATTGATTAAAATAAAAAAATTTGATTAAAAATTTATAAATAATATTACTATTTATCATTATTATTGTAATTATTCCTATTATTTTTGTTAATATTATTATCATTACATTTGTTATTACCACCATTGTCAATATAAATGGTGGTAGGAATAATATTGATGACAATTATAATTTATAATTTTTTAATTTAAATCATTTTTTAATGCAAGGTTGTTCTTATGTAAACATTTAAGTTGTACTTATATTTTTTTAATCTTTAATTTTTTACATTTCAAATTTTATCTCAACAAAATAAGCTTACAATATTCTATATTAATTTTTAAAACTGGGTTGATTTTTTTTTAACTACTCACAAGTCGATATGAACAACTATGGGATGATTGAATTTCTTATCATAGAAAGATAAAATTTTGTTTTTTTTATAAATAAAATACATAATTTTGTTGGGTATTGGACTCCTTTTCTATGTGGAGAAAAGACCCAAAAATTGAGAAGTCTAAATTTTGTCTCACTTAAAAACCAAGTGGAGAGGGGGTCTCTCAAGGAATAAGAGAGTAGAAAATTTTGTTCTCATACATAGAGTAGTTTCAGTAAAATTGTGATCTTCACTTTGTTTACGTTGGGTTGGGCTAGAAATTTGGCAGCAAGTTCTTAACACGGTGATCTTCGTTTTGATTGTTGGAATCGTGGATTGGAGGTCTGTGATTGGAGAAATCAATTTCGTACAGTTGCTTTAATTTTAGGTTTCTTCTTTATTCTTTAGTTGAAAGACTTTGTTGCTTTAATATATTAGTTGATTGTAAATATTTATTTATGCATTTGATTAGACTCTCTTGTACTCTTATTTGATTATATTGAAACTTGATAGATTGACTTGTGCCCGTAAATTTTTACTTTTCACATTGAGAGAATTTTCTCACATTAAAAATATCTATGTCTATTTGTGATTATTTTCTGTCATTTATTTATTTTGTTGCTCTTCATTAATTTTTGCATGTTGAGAAATTATTTCTGCCGCATACTTTGATACTTTTGATTATTGTGTTGGTGTTTCTCCTATATAATTTTATTCATATTTTAAATATAATTTTGTCATTAAAAAGTGTAGATAGCATATTCAAGTATAATAAAAAAAATAGCATGAATTAAAATTAAAAAACTTTATCAGTATAATTAGTAATAAAGTACTAAAAATGTAAACATGAAATAGAAGTTATTAGTTTGAATCTCAATTCTCAAGTAATCGGAATTTAAGTATAAATCTGATACTCAAATGAATGAAGATTGAATTTTATTGATTTGGTTAACCGATAAAAAAAAAAAAATTGAACTAATAAGCGTCTTTATTTTATTATTATTATTATTATTTTTCTAATAATAAACTCATTTATGACTATATTACTTCATTTATTATTATTACACCAGAGAAGTCCATTTAAAAGTTAAGTTTTCTTTAATAGGATCAAGAATTCCCCAAAAGAAAATTATTAGTGTAAGGAAAGATTTAGCTCTCAACTGTGTTAAAGCCTTTCTTCTTATGTGGCAGGATTTTCATGTGCTTCAAATCTCTCTCTCTTTTAGTTTTTATTTTCTTTTCTGCGAGAAACTTCCCTTTATGTTAGAAGTTTGACTTACAATTCCTCGTTCAATCTTTTTACTTCTCTTGATATTTACCAGCAAATGTAGAGAGGGATTACTATTCGACTTGAACAACTGAAATTAATACAACTATAAATTCTTTTATAAATTTCAACTTTTTCATGTGATTAGAAGCCATATTTCTGCTTTTTTGATTTACTCCCTTTGGAAATTGTAATAGTGAATTAGATTCTAACTTTAATAAGAAAATTTATCTTTGATTGGGGTCAAGGATGTAACTCCCTATATCCCACCCTTAACATGTGTGTAGGTTAGAATTTTATTCTAACTCTCTTATAATTATTTAAAATATAATTATTATAATGTTAAATCATTTTAAATTGCACTAAAATGATATTTTCGTTAGACTAATTCCGTTTTAGGCCTTTTGTTGTTTTATTGGGTCTCAATGCCTTAATGAATGGTACATCTTACATGCTTACTTATTTTAAAGAAATAATTTAATGAAAGTTTTAGAAGTAATAGCTGGATATTGAGTGACTATTAAGATTCATGATGAAAGGTTGTGTGTTGGCAATTGCAATGATTAATATAAACCAAAAGAGAAGAATGCTTAGAAAAACAAAATGGAGGAAGGGATTTGTATAAAGGGGTGGATTATTTAATCTGAGAAGAATCAAAACGTGGGTTACTACCAACACATGCAATGCAACGCAGTGTTTATTCATCTTATGTCCAAAACCCTACACGCCAAACACAAGGATTTTACAAATTCATGAAATATAATAATATTAGGGAACATGACTTCATTTGATTTGATTTTATTCCAACCACCAACAGCAAACTTTGATAAACATAGAAAACAAAAAAAGTAGGCCATAAAATTAAATTCGCAAAGATTCATAACATAAAAATGCATTACATATTCACAATCTTGTGAGATTACGTTGTCAGTCCATATATTGCATAAGAAAGAGAAAATTCCGATTCTTGTCGAAAAAAGAGGTTTTTGTAATTTACTATTTTCAGTAGTTTACATTTTACAAGAACTTTTGAAAATTTCATCTTTGTGTCTTCACCAAATGCTGCTGATCAAGTTTTATTCCCTCCGTCCTTCACTAGTCTTATTTAATTCCTTTTTTCGGCTAAAAATAAATTATTTTTTTCTTGCAATAATTTACCACTAAATACAAAATTAAACAAATTTACATAAATAATATGAGATAAATACCACAGCCATAAATATGTATAAAAATAAATGAAATATGAATATAAGGGGGGTGTATTGGTTTAGGATTTCGTAGGATTTTAAAAGACTTTTTTTGAGTAAAAAAATCCATTGGTATTCAATCAGGATTTTATGTCACTTAAAAACAATCCAGTGGTATTCAATCTGGATTTTTAGGATTTTTTAAAGAGTCCATTAAAATCCACTGGTATTCATTTGAGATTTTTTACAACTTAAAAACAATCCATTGGTATTCAAAAATTTAAGGATTTTAAAGGATTGTTGTGTGAGAGGGATTTTGAAAGACTTTCTAGTGTTATCTATAAATACCAGATTCATAAAACAATCTCATCCAAACCCATCGGATTTTGAAGGATTGTTTGAAATGATTTTTCAAGTGTTTTAAGAATTTTCAAGTGAGTTTTTCATCTTTTTTTTCTATGCTCCTGTCTTCTCCATTTTTTCTCTACTAATAATACTACACTATTGTTCATTGCTCATATATAATACTATTCTCATACCATTCTCCTATTTTGTGAAACTCTAATATGTAAATGATAGTGTCATTGACTTGTTTTATTTTTCTGTTCGTTCTCTTTAATTGACTTACTTTATTTTATTCTATGTAGTTGAATTTGTTCCTTTATATAACACAAAAAAATACTTGAAATTTTAACTTTTAAGTGGTAATTTTTTTTATGACACACGTTAAGAAAAGAAAAAGGTGAAAGATGAAATTGATATCATAATCTCAACAATATATATATATATATATATAT